AAATAAAATAAGATTCTCTGATTTTAATTAATAAATTTTAAATTCTGAATAGAAATTTCAAACAATAAAAAGAGTGCAATAGAAAATGCCAATAGGGTTTATCTATTTTGATTAAATGTATTATGAATATATACAAATAAATTACTAATATAATCCTGATCATTATATCAAGACCACAGGAGTATATCTGTGGCTGAAATTTTTCAGCTATTTTGGCTACTTGGCAAATATTCAAAGCAAAGTATCAATAATTTTAAATGTAATAGAAATTAGGCCTCACCTAGGTTAAACCAGATTCGTAAAACCTTATACAAGCCTTTTTGGTATTTCAGCAAGACCTTTTGATATTTTGGTAGACTCTGGAAGTTTTGGCTATATATTAAATACATATTGCCAAAAATTTCAGAGTATGCCAAAATACCAAAAGGTTTTGTATAAGGCTCTGCAGATCTGGTTTAACCTATATGAGGCCTAATTTCTATCACATTACAAATTATTAATAACTTTGCTTTGAATATTTGGCAAGTGGTCGAAATAGCTGAAACATCTTAGCTACATGTATATACAGGAGAATTAATTAATAATACCCTGACCGTATATGAATAAGCAGAAACTTTGTTTCTGCTAATTCTTAATAGATCAGAATATTGTAATATAGTAAAATCTTATTAGAACCTGTTTATAAATTAATCTCACAAATTAAATATTTCATTGATTAGTTATTAGATAAGACTATTTTTACTAGTCACTTTATTTATAATTTCTTTATTAATATAAAAAAAATAACAAAATATCTATGAGAATTCAGTAAAGATATGACAATTGAATTTATAAGTTTAATCAATAATATAATTGATTTTTTCTTTCCAAACATCAAAATCTATCGAATTAAAACAGTATAGAGTTTATCCAAATTAATACTTTCACCCTACCTTTCAAAACATTTGGAAACAGAAGCAGCCCTTTATATTACTCAGGTATTAGAAAAAACAAATCCTATAGATGATTTTTTATAGGAAATTAATCACATTAATAAATATATGCAAGGGAATCCACTCTTAGTCAAAAAGCTCTCCAAAGCTTTAAATCCACTTGAACCTATTGATTTTTATCATGGTTACCTGATTTATTACCTTGATAATGATCTTTATATTACAGATAATATTGATGAAAATGATGAATCTTTGACTCCTTATATCTGTATATTACTAGTCAATTATTCAGATCATATCCTTCATCAAGAAACTATGCTATTAAAGCCAAATTAAATGAAATTCGAAATCTTCATATAATTTCTTTTCATCAAAAAATTAACATTTCTCATTTAGCATTATCCGAACAAGAAGCAATTAAGGGTAGGGTATTTGTTTACATATTTTTTTTATGCAATGCGCAAATAAATATGCATGTACAACCAAATATACAATTATAATTGGTTAATTTTGCAGATCATTAAATTTTGATTGGTTTATTTTCATGCTATGGCAAACAAATAGTAAACAAATACCCTACTCTTAAATACAATTTAAAAAAAGATAATTACAAAATTGTACCAGAATTAACATCTCATAATAATAAATACCTTATAATAACTAACCAAGGTGGCGATAGGGTTATTTTAGATGAAGAAAATAGTGCCCTCTTAGCAAAAGGTTCATTACGGTATATACCAAAATATATATTACTGGATAATGACTGAAAAGGTATTGCTAATGAAGTTGAAGAAGATATTTTTGAACAATTTCCTGAAGCTTTTGAAGACTCTAAAATATCTCTGATTGGAGTTATCCTACAATATCTCAAAAAAAAAAAAATATTCAGCTAGACTCCCATATTTAGATAAATTCAAAACTCGTAAAGAGTTAGTTTTTAAATGTTCTTATTGAAGGAATATTAGATTTAATGTGACAAGATAAATACTCTGTTTTATGATTTTATCTTTTTGGAAAAAGTCAAGTTATTGATATTAAAAAAATATTAGATAGAAAGAATATTAGAACAGTTAGTACTCAAAACTTAACTACCTTTTTAGATATAGTTGTCAGTTTGGAACAAAGTAAAAGAATAACATGGTATACAACAGGGGTCAGTTCAGATATAATACTTAAAACATAGCATTTCTTTTCAAAAAACTCCAACAATTCATAAATGAAAGAGGTAATATGATTAAAGCTAATGCTACAGTATTTGATTCTCATCTTAATAGATTCCTATTTGAAGTAATGAAAAAACTAGATTCATTAGTTTTTAGGAATCATCTAAAAAAGAAATTACTTCAATCTTCTGATATCATTATGATCAAATACAAAAAGTTGGATATTTGGAATAACTGAATATAAATATCTAATTTTTTCAATGAGAGTTGATAACCCAGTTGTTTACTAACAAATATTATCTAATCATTTAGATAAATATATTTCATATTCTAAATATATTGAGAATTATAATAATCTATGTTTTCTAAAAAATAAAGTAGTTCTTGTTAATAATGAAAGTAATTATGAAAACCAACCAATATTCATTTTAACAAAAGATTATAGTAAACAAATATATGAATTAGTATACTTACTTAAAAAACAAGATATTATAAAATACTATTGCCCAATCCTGATCGCAGTCTAGTTCAAAGCAGATAAAACCACCTTTCAATCACAACATCCTAATAAGTTTTATAATCTTGATGATTTTCTTAATATAGAAGAAGAAAATAATTTGTAGTTACTTTGTAAAGAAGCACACTATACAAATGGCTGGTCTCAAGTTAATAAAGAATAAAACAGAAGTATTGAACAGATCTCTAAAGATAAACTAATCTTAATTCACGATCTAAATTAAAAGTAACAGTATAATAGGTAGGAATAAGAATGGCTGGCTACAGTTGTCTATCAGCTAGCTATTACTGGCTAGCTGCTTATAACTAGCTAGCTGCAGCTCTATAGCTAATCAATTATTTAATTAATTATTTCATCAAATATCTAAGCCAATTGTATGTTAGTTTAATAATTGTCATAGCTTATGCTAATTTTGGCTTAGCAAAGGATGATTTCTTGTTTGTTTTAAATTTGTTATATTATACAACATAGCAGGCTTTCACTATAATTGGCTAATTTTTGTAGATCCTGTGATATAGTAAAAATTTTATTAGTTAATCGAAATTAATCGAAGTTTTAAACATAATAAAGAGAAAAACTGTTATATATAAAAATAACTAGCAGAAGTCTTTGTCATGAAATCTTAATAACTTAAATCTAAAACTATAATCTTGTTGCAGACAAAATTCTGTCAAACCAAAATTTTATTAAAAAAATAATTCTAATTTAATACAATCGAAAAAAGAAAAAAAATAATCTAAAAACAAACAAAAAAACAAAAAGTACAAGAAATAAATGCTTGAACTTATTCTAAAAACTAATGGCTAACAAAAAATAATAAAAAATAACTTAGTGACTGCTTCAATATCAAACTGATCTTTAATTTTATTTACTATATAAATATTATATAGTTAAAGTACCACTACTTTGCTTTAACTCTTCTCATTAAATCTATAAGCCTTATGACCTCAACTTCATATTCTTAACCTATATTATAATTAAGTTTCTATATTAGTTAAGATTATGAAGAATAAGTTTTCACAAAATATGTAAAAGACAGTTTAAATTGCCAAGTTTAATTAATTTCTTGTACCTATAAGTTAAACTTAAATATTCAAACTTATCTCTTATTTAACTTCCAAATTACTTTGTGGATTACTGAATTACTTTGACAATTTATAGACCAGAAGATATTATTTCAATTTTTTTTGATATCGAGTTTGGCCAATTCATATCTGTGGCTGCTAAACCATTTTTGTAACTGCAAAACATTACGCTACTATGTAGAATATATTGTATAACATTTTGTATCAATCATTTAATTAAAATAAAGCTTGCTATGTTATACTGTATTATACTAATTTTTGTTGATCATCACGTGATCTTCATATCGATCAAAATAAATATCATTCAATACTATTTACTTTGCACACTTATTTAAAGTTTATATCAAAATAGCATTTGTTTAGATTTGGCTAAATAATCTGCAAATTTAACCATAATTATGAATGATCGGTTTCTTTATTTATCAAATGATGCAAACCTGTTAATATAATTTATTACTGAATTATACTTTAATTATTATTTTGTCAATCAGGACATTAAAATTTTGGTATCAGCTATAATTTTAGCCAACTAGCTAAGCTGCTCGGCTTGGCTAATATTAGCATTGGCTATAGCTAGCTATAACCAGCTATAGCTATAGCTATTTCAATCCCTAATAATAGGTAAAGAATTATTAATGAGTCAAACCCACAAGTTTAAAACATTTAAAGCTATATCTATTGAAGATTTTTTTAAAAACTAATATCCAGAAATAATAAAAAGTTCTTATAATAAAGGTTTAATCAATTTTAAACAACATATAAAAGAATTAAAATGTAACCAGATTTTATTTAATCGATGATAATAAATTAATTTCTAGTGGTATATTGTCTTATATTAATGAGAATTTTAGAACAACTATAACAGAGAGTTATTTAGATAAAATTAAAAAATATCTAATTATAAATTTTTTAATTTAAAAAATTTAACTTCTAATTTAATTTAATTTCTTAAGAACTATTTTTCAATTGATACTTCAATATCTAATTACAAAACACTTCTATTTATAGGTCAAGTAATAATTAGGGTAGTGACAGATATTATATAATATTCTAGAGGGGTATCTGGAGATAATATTATATATATATAATTATATATATATATTTTATATATGATCATATATGATGTAGGAAGAAGGGGTAGCTTCTTTGATAAAATGATATTACATAATATATATCACAGCCCTTAAAGAACCAGACCAATATCAGTTCATTAAAATTACACTATCTAAGAAAAGTAAATATAATTTAATTTGTGGTTCATCTACAAACTAGTAACAAAACATAGTAAAAAGTGGGAAAATTTACTATTGTCTTTGAAATCAGGAGTTTTCTAAAGAAAAAGTTTTTTCTTTACTAAGTAAACCTCTCTTTAATGCCTAAGTAAAGTTGTAGAGAAGTATTTTGCTATCAGAATAATAATTAAAATATTAAAATCGGTCTAGTAGATCACGAAATATAAGCATTTTAGTCTTCACAACTATATGTTTTCTTCTTTATACAGTATGAGACAGCAAAACGCATCCAATATTTATTAATAAAAACTTTAAAGTGTTATAACTTTTTTAAAACAAGCTAAATCAAAAAAACCTCTGACAAATTAATAGATTTTTAGATAAACTATATTTCTGTCAGAGAAATTTTTTTTATTCGTTGTTTTTAAAAAGTTATAAAAGATTAAAGTTTATATGAGTTCAAAAAATTGGCATCTAATATAGAAAAAAAGAAAAAAAAATATATTTTTAACCAATTAGAATCAATTATACAAAAATTAACCAATCAGAATTGATTATATATGCATCAAAAATTGGCATCTATATGTATGGATTGGATGTCTTATGCTGTCCTGCATTGTATAAATAAAGAAAAAAATATATAATCGCAAAAACTAAAATATTTATATCTTGTGATCTACTGAACTGATTTTAAGGGTAGAGTATACGTAGATTATTTATCATATGATCTGCATGGCAAATTTTTTTGTGTAACAAATTACATAGTAAACACAAATCTAATTGGGTAATTA